GGGAGTCTTTTCAGGCTGGTTTCTGTATCCTTTTGACATGTCCCCCCCCATTTTTTTTCCTTTTTTTTTTTTTTTTTTCCCCCCTTTTTTTTTTTTTTGTCTTTTTCCGTGTCTGGCAACGGATCACAACCCTCAGTGTCGCCCCCGTACCGGACCGGGACCGGCAACGGGATCGCAAGCCTTGGTGTTGCTCCCGCGCCTCGCTCAGCCAGTGAGCGGGAACCGGTCTGAATGTGGGATCCGAACCCTCAGCGGGAGCGCCGCCGCGCTTCCCAAGCGGCACACTATAGCAGTGCGCCACCGGGCCGGCCCTTTTTTTTTGTCTTTTTGTGACCGGTAAGGTGATCGCAACCCTTAGCTTGGTGTCGCGCGCACCGCGCTCAGCCACAGCGCACCAGCTATCCCTATATAGGATCCGAACCTGCAGCGGGAGTGCCGCAGCGCACCCAAGCGCTGCACTCTCCCGAGTGCGCCATGGGGCCGGCACTTTTTTTTTTTTTTTTAACACAGTAAGATTTTCCAGGCTCATCTTGTATTTCCCTCATCCCAGACCTGAGAATCAGCCATTTCTCCAAGGAGCCCTGGTTTCTTTCAATAAGGAATGGCGTTTTAGAAACAATGTTTTGTCTCTAGGTATGTTTATTGCTAATGGGATGTCATTGCTTTTAGGTATTTCCTGGGGGCAGAGCTCTGATATACATTTTTTTTTTTTTTAAACATGAGTTTATAAAGATACCTCCACTTCCAGTCCACCACCACAGTGTTCCGCCTCTGCTTTTTCCTTCCATAATTGTAAAAGATAATTTCTTAATGTTTCTGAGATGGGGTTAAAAGTCAGAAATTTAGTTTTTAGTAAAAGTATGTGGTTTCATATTGATATCAAAGTCACATTACCTGAAAATCTTTTCTAATTGTTTTTTATATAAAGGAAAATGTTTTTAATTTGTAGATAATTCCCCTTAAAATTACATATTTAAAAACAGTGTGTTAGGTATAATGACTCCAGAGTACCCTCCAGCTCTTTAGTTCCTGCTGAGAGCCAACCCAGCAGTATCCATTTCCAGTGGCTGGCAGATATTTCTGTCAAAGATTGGGCTGCTCACTGTCCTTGAAGCATAGTTATTATCAGTCTCAATGAGTTTATGTATTTAGTTTTGCTTATACGTTAGAAGGTATTTACAGGGCCGGCCCGTGGCTCACTTGGGAGAGTGTGGTGCTGATAACACCAAGACCATCGGTTCGGATCCCTATACAGGGATGGCTAGTTAGCTCACTTCGGAGAGCGTGGTGCCGACAACACCAAGTCAAGTGTTAAGACCCCTTACTGGTCATCTTTTAAAGAAAAAAGAAGGTATTTACATCATATGCAGAGATAATTTTATCCTCTCCTTTCCTTCTTACTCCTCAAATTTAAGGTGTTTTAGGGATGGTGCAGTTAAGAAACCTTATTCTCCAAAGATATTGTCCAACAAGAAGTCTTCTGCCTTCTCTGGGATCCAGAGGAAGTTACCTAGGACCAGTCGTCCAGTACAGTCTCATGCCTCACATACTTGGACCCGTCGGGGTCAGTTAAGAGAGTTGCGCATCAGGTGAGCTTAGAATACTCATAAGAGTGATCACGTGCCTGCAGGGACTTTTCCTTCATTCTTTCTTCTAGTGTAAAATGAGGGAATGATTCCCATTCTCCTGTGTCAATTAATTGGAGACCTTGATGCCTGCTCTTCACAGCTGAATGTTCAGATGAAAAGGAAATAGGAATCTGCAGGCATAAAGTCTGTCATTGAGTGATTTCATTCACGTTCTCCAGTTGTGCCCCACAATATGCAAGCTATAAAGATTCTCCCAGAAAAAGTCTAAACATGGTCTAGGAAAAAATGATCATTTTCTGATGCTCTTGATTAGGTATATTAAAGGCATCCATGCATTCATTCAACAAAAATCTATCAAATGCTTACTCTGCTGGGTATTATGCTAGATGTTGAGCATATGAGGTGAATATAACCTCATGAAAGTTTAAAATCAGGTGGGCTTGACAGACCGTTAAGCCATTAACAATAAAGTGTGATATGTGCTATGAGAGGAGAAGGATGTGGTACCACATGCATACACGGCAAGAACAGCCACACTAGTGTGGCCTGCAGTGACTTTCTCAAGGAAGTACAGTTTAAGCTGAGTCCTGAAGGATAATAGAATAAGCCGGATAAAGGGCAGGAGGAAGAGTGTTCCAAGCTGAGCCCAGAGATTAACTGGACAAGTCAACATTTCTTCTGTGTGTACCAGGCACTGTGCTAGATACTGAGGATACTATAAGACGTGATCCCTGCTCTCAGTGCAGAGGAAATGACAGACACACCGTAAGCCAATTACTGTGATATGGTGTTAAGACGTTACACAAGGGACTTGAACAGAGTGCTGAGAGTACACAGCTACTTGCTCTGTTTGGTTTGGGGAAGGTGTAGGGTAAGTGGGCATTTGCCAGGCATTTTAGGCAGGAAGAATAATATGAACAAAAGAATTATCATATACTTGCTTTACCTCAACTCTGAAGTCTTTATCTCTTCATTGACAAAATACTTTACAGTGAAAGTATTTTTGTAAAATAATCTGCTTCATTTTAGCTTTATAAATCTGTACACCCTATACTCTCTGTTTGATGCAAGATAAGCTGTGATACTACCTTTTGACTCATATTAGCATCCCATCCCCTGGGACCTTAAAGTTTCCCTTTCCCTTCCAGAAAGCCAGAGAAGGAAAAAAAAAAAGAAAGAAAGAAAGCAAAATAAATAAATAAATAAAAATAGAAAACCAAATATATAAGCCAAATGGAGTTTTAAAATATACATATCCTTTCTTTCCTTCTTTCAGATGCATGGCCAGAAAGTTCTTGTATTTGTGGATTCGAATGACTTTTGGAAGAGTATTTCCCTCTAAAGCCAGGTAGTATTAGCTCAGAACACCAAATTTCTGTTGAGTTAATTCTAGGATTTTTTTTTATATTAAGCCTATATGTAACCTTTACTATGGCATGTGTTATATTCTTTCTCTACCGCTCCCTAGCTTCCAGCAGGCAGGAACAGTACCTAATATAACCATGTAAAGTAATGGTAACTTAATACATGTTAATTGACTGAATAAATGTGTGAAGGAATCTTACTTAAGTAAACCTCACAGCTGAGACCTCTCTGGGAAAAATATGCTTGTCCAAGAAAAGTAAATGAGCTTTTTCACGGCACTGGTGAGACTGACAAGTTGGCTTGATCCTGGGGCAGAACCTGGGGGGGAAAATTGGTGTTGGAGGGGAGAGTGAAATTTTAATGAGGAGCAAATTCCTCTGCCTTACTTTGTATAGACCACCACCACCCCCTGCTGTGGTTGTTGGTTACAACCACTTTAGCTACAGTGTGGAGAGCGGGCTGCAAGAAGGAGTCAGGAATCAGGAACACCGTGCAGGAGGCATTGGGGCTGGAGAGAAGGGGCCAGTACAGGGTATGTTTCACAGGGAGAATTGGCAGCCATTGAGAATCTACTCATTTCTTAAAAACTGAAATGTCATGGGTTCTCTTCCCTCCCCCTCCTCTTCCCTCACTGTAACCTTTCCTATTTCTTTTTTTTTGTGACAGTGTGACTTTCCTTGATTCAACATCTCTCAAGCAAGGGGCTGGCCCATGGCTCACTTGGGAGAGTGTGGTACTGATAACACCAAGGCCATGGGTTTAGATACCTATATAGGGATGGCCGGTTAGCTCACTTGGCAGAGCCTAGTGCTGACAACACCAAGTCAAGGGATAAGATCCTTTTACTGGATCATCTTTTTTTTCCCCTTTTTGTCTTTTTTTGTGACCGGCAACGGATCGCAACCCTCAGTGTCGCGCCCGTACCGGACCGGGACCGGCCACGGGATCGCAACCCTCGGTGTTGCTCCCGCCCCTCGCTCAGCCAGTGAGCGGCAGGTCCACATGCGGGATCCGAACCCTTGGTGGGAGCGCCACCGCGCTTCCCAAGCGGCACACTATAGTAGTGCGCCACGGGGGCCGGCCCTGGATCATCTTTTAAAAAAAAAAAGACAACATCTCTCAAGCAAAGTTGGCCTATGGGTGTTTTCTGAAATCTTTTCTTTACCGTGAGAGGGGCCCTGCTGTTCCCATCTCCTTTTTTGTCTTTACAGTGAAGCTTCTGCTGTGGCAACAGCCCGTCGCAGCTGCAGGTGTTAGGCACAGTTCGACTCTGCTTTTCCGTCTTCTGGATCTCAGCCCTGTCCTTCTTCACTGTCTTGGTAGCTATTCAGTGCCTTCAAATAATTTTTTTTTGTCCTGCTTTTTTTGTTGTTCACTGGCAGAATTGATTCAAATTGCCTAGTTTGCCATTATCAGAACTCTCTTTTTATTCAATTGAGTATTTTATTGACTTTCCCCTCTGTTAGCTTAGAAATTAAATACTCTTTTACTCTTTTTTACTGACTGCCTTAAAGAGTATAATTTATATCTATAACTCATCAGAGTCGAATGTTAATTAGTCTTTTTACCAAGACAAGGCAAGGTCCCTTAGAACACTCTGCCTGTCCTCCTCTCCATATGTATGCCCTATGGTAATGTATTTTAATTTCATGTATATTTTTAATCTACAGAACATTATTCTTATTTTATGCAGTCAGTATTCACTTAGATTTATTCTCATATTTACCCTTTCTGTCGCTTTTTTTTCTTCTTGCATCTCCAGATTTTTATGTGTGACTATTTTCCATCTTCTATCATTGGAACATCTCTGATTATTTCATTCATGGTAGATCTCTTGGTGATGAATTCTCTTAGATTTTGTCTGTCTGAAAATGTTTCCTTTTACTTTCTTTTTTTTTTTTTTTTTTTGGGTTTTTTTTTTTTTTTTTTTTTTTCTGGGGTTTTTTTTTTTTTCTTTTTTATGGTGGCTGGCTGGTACAGGGATCTCAACCCTTAACCTTGGTGTTATAATACTAGGCTCTAACCAACTGAGCTAACTGGACAGCCTTTCATTTTTTTTTTTTTTTTGGGGTTTTTTTTTTTTTCTTTTTTATGGTGGCTGGCTGGTACAGGGATCTCAACCCTTAACCTTGGTGTTATAATACTAGGCTCTAACCAACTGAGCTAACTGGACAGCCTTTCATTTTTTTTTTTTTTTTGGGGTTTTTTTTTTTTTCTTTTGTCTTTTTTCCATGTCCGGCAACGGATCGCAACCCTCAGTGTTGCCCCCGTACCGGACCGGGGACCGGCAACGGGATCGCAAGCCTCGGTGTTGCTCCCGCGCCTCGCTCAGCCAGTGAGCGGGAGCCGGTCTGTATGCAGGATCCGAACCCTCGGACGGGAGCGCCGCCGCGCTTCCCAAGCGGCGCACTATCCAGTGCGCCACCGGGCCGGCCCTAGCCTTTCATTTTTGAAAGATATTTTCACTGGGTATAGAAGTCTAGGTTGCCAGTTCTTCCCCAGCACTTTGAAGATATTTTATTGTCTTATGGCTTCCATTTGTAAGCTGTTAGTTTAATTTTTGCTCTTTTGAAGTTTCATTCTTTGTCTTAGTTTTCAGAAATTTTCATATGAAATGATTAGGTGTGAATTTATTTTCTTAAAATCTTTTAGCTGTTTTGAAAGAACAGGTTATAGTTTTTTTCTGTTTTCTGGGCACATCTTTCTGGCATACTTTCTTTGTCCATAGGCATGTTATTCTGTTCCTTATCTTTTCTCATATAGTAACTTTGTGTAGGATTTGGCTTCACATGCCTTTCTGTTGCTCATTTTTATATGAAATTCGTTTTCCTGAACTTTTAGAATGAGGTGAGGCTCAGTTTAACTTTCCTAATTTCACAAATTCCCCCTTTTGTTGTTTTTGCTTCAGATTCAAAAATATGGCAGCTTGTCCTTACAGGATATCCTTGTTTTTTCTCCCTTACCTCACTTGGTCTGGATCTTCTCTTTCCTTTTCTCTTTTGTCCCTCTCCTGTTCAAATTTTCTTCTCCTTCTAGCAGTTTCTCCTCCGTAGGTAGCCCTGTCCTAGAAGGGTATCCTGACAGATTAGTTTTGAGATACCATAGGGGCTGGACTGCCCCAGCTATTTCAGTTCTCCTTATGTGAGACTGATACTAAAGAGGACAAAACCCCTCTCAATTTCAGCTGCTGGTTTCAAATTGGGCCTCTGTATTTTCCAATGACTACTTATTGACTATTTGAGGTTCTCCTATTCTCAGGTTCCTCAGATGCCATGTTCATTGCTCTTTCTTCCTCCTGTACTAATGCTACTGCCATGGAGGTCTTATGACTGTGTGTGGTTTGTCTCCACCTCTTTGTATTTTGGATTCATGGTTGATACTTTGTCACCTAGTTTTGTTGTAATTGGTATATGGATTTTTGGTTTTTGCTGCATCATTGTTCTGTGTATTTTATGGAAATTCAAAGATTGAAAACTGTGTTGCCGCCTCCATTATTTTCCCCAAATCCTTTTCTTTCTTAATTTTATTTAATCTATATCTGACCCATAATTGACTGGGACCCTCTTTGTAGATAATACCTATTTATACTCCAAGTACTTGGGAAATACTGATTGTATTAGTTAGACATACATTTGAGGGCTGGCCTGTTAGCTCACTCAGTTAGAGCACAGTGCTGATAACACGAAGGTCGGGGGTTCGGATCCCCATACCGGCCAGCCGCAAAACACACACACACAAAAAAAACAGAAAACAAAACAAAATTTGTTGACAGCTCTTGTTTATCATCCCCTCTCTTATTCTTATTTGTGGGCTTTTTAAATGTATTTGCTGTTATTTTAGTGGGGTTTGGGGATAGGAAGGAGGTAGATGGATGTGTTCATTCTACCACATGCAAATAGTTCTTTTCTATTAAAATTTTTTAAAATTGTAAACAAATATGTTCAGAAAATTTTTAAACCTTACAGAAATGTACAGTTTAGGAAATGCCAATCTCCTGTAATCCCTCCTTGAGAAAGAACCACTGGTAATAGTTTGATATTCTGGAGCTCTTTCCAGGTTTTAAATATGTACAATATAAAAATTTATATATGCACACACACATACATGTACATATGTCTATATATAAATATGTATGTATTGTATATATATATATTTGGCATGTATTGATTCCAACGTGGGCTGGAAATATATAAAAATATTAATTTATTAAAAACGATATATTATATGGGCCAGCCTGGTGGCGCACTGGATAAGTGCACCGCTTGGGAAGCACGGCGGCGCTCCCGCCCGAGGGTTGGGATCCCACATACAGACCGGTTCCCGCTCACTGGCTGAGCGAGGCGTGGGAGCAACACCGAGGGTTGCAATCCCGTTGCCGGTCCCCGGTCCGGTACGGGGGCAACACTGAGGGTTGCGATCCGTTGCCGGACACGGAAAAAGACAAAAAAAAAAAAAAAAAAAAAGATCTATTATACATACCTTGTGGTAACTTTATTTTTTCAATTAAAAACTTTCCTAGAGTGTTGTCCATTTCAGTACTCTTAGCTCTATTTTGTTCATAGAAAATGACTCTGTGACTTTGATTGAATTGCTTTATCCTGTCTTCTTTTGATGAGCATTTGTGGTGTTTTATTCTCTCTTTATTATTATGAACAATAATGAGGTGAATT